TCCATATAATATTATCGGTACCGCTAATTTATTATATAGCGTTACTTGCGTTTCTAGCCGTGCTTTGTTTTTAAAAGTTTTTGCGATAGTTCCACATACTGACTGGAATTTATTTATTTTTTTCATGTAGTCATTTTTATCATAGGTTACGTCGCATCCCAAAAAGCTGAAGTGCGATATTTGCTGTAGTGGTTTATTTCTTAAAACTATTTTTGTGCTGATTCCGTCTTTGCCTCAGTGTGCCAATACTTTGGTTTTTTCGGTAGCTATTTTTCCATCATATTTTGTTATAATCATTTGTAGGAGATGAAGTTGTTGTCTTTGTAAGTTATTCTTGTTTGGTGCGACTAACAATTGGTCGTCTGCAAACAGTATGCAAATAATTTTTTCAAATATTATTCCAAAAAATCCTTATTTGGGTATTTCGCCACTGCAAGAAAATCTACAAAATAAAATAGTTATTTTATGTAAACACTTTTGCGTTAATACCAAACGAAAACTACTTGTCAGAAGTTAGGTTTACAGATATACAAATTTGCCTAACGATAAAATAAATGCTTAACCTTTCGGAAAGTTTATCTCTTTGCGTCGTCGGAAGCAAAAAAAAATACAAAGAATAAAGAAAAAACTATTTAAAATATTTTAATTTCAACTGTTCGAGAACACTTTAGTTTTTAAAACAGATACGTCTACAAAAACCGTTGACGTTCTGTCAAAATGACATTATATCAAGTTAAACTTCAAAATTATCAATTACTACCTGATAATTACTTAATAACGTAAAACCAAAAAGTCCCAAACTTTCTGTATAATTATTTTTAATTTTTACGTATGTTATGTTTATTTATTTTATGTTCTTTAAAATCAAAGAAGCGATTGCCACACATTACTAACATCTACAGATGTATGAGCAATACATTTATTTTTATTAGATTGTATTAAAAAAGCCTCTTTTATTTTTCTTTTAGAGGCTATCGCTTCATTCATTATAATTTTGGCGTTATGAAAATTTATTCTGTGCTTTGTGTCCCATGATTGCTGACAAATCTTAGATTTGTGAAAATCTCCCTTTCTTAATAAATAATCTTTATGTTCTTTAATTCGAACATTTAAGGGTCTAGATGTTTCACCAATGTAAAATTTATCGCATTCACATGGTATTTGGTGTATTACATTTTTTGTTTGTTGTTCTGTATTCATTGGTTTAGTATGTGATGAAATGTATCTAAGTGTATTTTGTGTTTTGAAAGATGTTCGTATGTTATATTGTTTTCCTATCCTTCTTATTTTTCTCCGAAACGCCTCGTCTGTGTGGAATTGTAAGTTGTATATATTGTGTATTATCATTGTGTCTATGATTTGGGGTTTGTATTTCGTTTAATGTTTTGTCAATAAAATATGGTGGATAGTCGTTTTTTATTAATGTATTTTTTATGTGGCTTATATCTCTGTTTAGTGAAATGTCGTCTGAATATATTATTTTTGCCCTATCATATAAACTTTTTAACAACACCTTTTTTACACATATACTGTGATTGGATGTGAAATTTAAGTATCTATCTGTGTTTGTGGGTTTCCTGTAAACATCTAAAATTAGTTTATTTTGAAACTTTTAATTACCTCTCTCTACTTCTAAAATAAATTTTATGGTAGGTTCGCGAGAATTTATATAATCCAAAAAAATGTTTATTTCAGAAACGTTATGTTGCCATACTGCAAAATTATCATCAACATATCGCAGCCATATTACAGGCTTTTTTGAAAAACTATTTATTAACTATTTATGTATGGCAATCGCTTCTTTGATTTTAAAGAATATAACATAAATAAACATAACATACGTAAAAATTAAAAATAATCATACAGAAAGTTTGGGGCTTTTTGGTTTTACCTTATTAAGTAATTGTTATCAGGTAGTAATTGTTAATTTTGGAGTTTAACTTGATATAATATCATTTTATTAAAACGTCAACGGTTTTTGTAGACGTGTCTGTTTTAAAAAACTAAAGTGTTCTCGAATAGTTGAATTTATATATTTTAAATAGTTTTTTTTTATTCTTTGTATTTTTTTGCTTCCGACGACGGAAAGAGATAAACTTTCCGAAACGTTAAGCATGTTTTTGATCGTTAGGCAAATATGTATATCTGTAAACCTAACTTCCGACAAGTAGTTTCCGTTTGGTATTAACGCAGAAGTGTTGACATAAAATAACTATTTTATTTTGTAGATTTTCTTGCAGTGTCGAAATATCCATATAGGATTTTTTGGGGAGATGAATCCGCCCCATAGGTATAGACATTTTTTATCAAATATTATTGTTCTAAGCTTCCATTCTCCAATTACAGTTTTATTCCCTTTCACAAAATATCATAGTAGTTTTAGTAGATGCAATTATGGATATTGAACTACTTAAAATTCAATAAAGACATTATAATATACATAAATACGTATACTTTTAATGTAATACGTGCATTAAGTCTAGCTAATTTTTGTTTATAGTAAATATGATAATACTTAAGGCACGATTTCAAGGTAGAAATAAATGTCTTAATAATAAACCGTTTAGGTTTATTTGTTTAATGATATATCTAATAACACACCGCATTTCTATCTAGGAAAGAAAAACACAGCGCGATTACGTATGTAAATGAGTACCATAATGGTTTCTACACCTACTATCGCCTGTGATTTAAGCATTTTTTTAGTTAATTATTTTAAATTATTATGTTTTGGAACTAACGAGACCATATTTTATTGCTGGTAAGCATGCCATCGACATTTTTTTACCGTTGATGGCCAAAGAAAATATTTGAACTAGGAAATAAAGGTTACAGTGTTCCCTGTTATAAATAATATCCTTGTATAATATATAATATCCTTGTATATAGGATAATACCTATTCTATAGTAATATATAAAATCCTCAAGTGACTGGCATACTGATTAATCACGATCCTGCTCAAACCACTCAACGTAAGAAGCTCAATTTTGGCATACAAGTTGATTCTAGGGTGTAGAGGTTCGATAAGAAGGGATTTTTTGAAATTTCAGTTCCAAGAGGGTGAAACCACCCCTCAAATATTACAATATTTTTTATTTAAAAAACGGCCAAGTTTCCGAAAAAACGCTTAAACACGTATATTTTATTTTGTTTTTTTACATATTTTAAGATTTTTTAAAAATGTATACAGGGTGTTTAGAAAAATCTGGTCATTGATTAATCACGATCCTGCTTAAAGCGCTTGACGTAAAAAGCTGATTTTTGGAAAACAGATTGACTTTAGGGTGTAGAGGTTCGATAAGAAGGGAGTTTTCGAAACTCGAATTCTAAGGGGGTGAAACTATCCCTCAAATATTAAAATATTTTTTATTTAAAAACCGGTGAGTTTTTAGGAAAAACTCTTAAACACGTATATTTTATTTAGCTGTTTTACATATTTTAAGATTTTTTATAAATTTATACAGGGTGTTTTATAAGCTATGACCATTCAGTAATCACCATTCTGCTTAAACTGCTTGACGTTTAAAGCTGATTTTTGGCAAACGGATTGACTGTGGGGTGTAGAGGTTTGATAAGGAGGAGTTTCTCGAATCTCAAATTCTAAAAGGGTGAAAACGCCCCTCAAATATTACAATATTTGTTAGTTAAAAAACGGTTAGTCTTTCGGGAAGGACATGCATAATTTATTTGGTTTTTTACATATTTTGAAATTTTTTAAAAAATCATACAGGGTGTTCCAAAAAGTTGGGTAATTTCTTAACCACGATTCTGCTTAAACTGCTTGACGTAAAAAGCATATTTTTGGCAAACGGATTTTTCGAAAGTCAAATTCCAAGGAGATGAAACTACCCCTCAAATATTACCAAGTTATATAATAATATCGCCATATTGTTTTTTCTCATGCTTACATAAATGTGAGAAAATTTTATCCCGCATTTTTATCGACGCGAACGAAGTCGCTGGTACACGCTAGATTTAATATAAATCAGAAAATAGTATAGAAAATAAGGTGCGGGCAGTGGCAAGACTATTTTAATAAAATTTCTACTCTCATAGAGAGTATTCCGGATTTATTCTCTCATAAAATGTATTATAATATCCTATGAAGAAATTTGTAAAGTCTGTTTGTGTATTGCAAAAATAACTTCAAAAAGAAATGATAATTGAAAAAATTGCAAATTGTTGGTGGCAAGTTCAATTCGCTCTTAAAAATTAAGCAAGGCATGTATTGTCATGATCCAAAAAATAAAATGCTCAGGAAATATAGTTCTGATCGTAAAATTATATTTTAGGAAAATTTACGCACGAAATTATTGCACAGGGTGTTTTAAAGTTAAGGTAAAAAAACAAGCCCTCGATTAACACTGTATAATATGCTAAATACTAAAGTTTATAAAAAACTGAGTTTACGAATTAAAGTTAATATAATTGGTTAGGTTGCTAAAAAACATCGTGAAAATAGGATTAAAAATAACAAAAATATAACACTTTAATTTGACTAAAAATTTCTTCGTTGCATTTTTTTGCATCTGAGTATATTATTTAAAAAATCTTAGCTATTAGTGAATGTCTTGTGGGGCTTACTAAATATGCCTGTGTTTCGCCAATTCAATTATAAAACGGATATTGAAGATACCATTTAGGAGCCGACATAACTATTTCGTTATCACATGGTATTTCAGCAATGGTTATTTTCAAAGAAAAACAAAATATAATAAAAGTTAATATTTTAGTTTACACTATACCCTGTATATTAAAAAACATTCAGTTATTTCAAATATTTGTTTTGCTTCCTTTTCGAGTACCCATTATTTGTAGTCTAGCGCTCATAAAAATTAAAATCCTGCTATTATTCAAATGATAATTAAAATAATGCGATCCAAATGAGGACAAATCGCATAATAATAATTTTAATAGCTTTATTTCGGTAGTAGTTCTTTTAATTAGAATAAATTCTTATCTTATCTTAGTTTCACGCGGTATAATAAGGTTTTTTATATTTCCTATGAGATTTTATATTATCTTGTTCTTGTTATAACTCTGAAACAGGTGTGTTTGAATGTGAGCATGTTAATAAAGGTAAATAATAACATTTGTTACTAAATAAAGAAACACTCATTAATCCCCCATAAACCAGAAGATTGGGCCTGCGGTCTGTCAAGGACCAAAACTATTGTATTTTGGTCTGCAGACTTAGCCTATCGATTAAATCTTTGCCCTCTTGATTTTTTAAGCAATTTGTAGATACATTATTTGGCTTTTTAGTGTCTTTTTTTAAATTAAAAATGAAGTTTCCTTCTGCCAATTATACGAGGGAAAATTAAATATTGATATTTTGGTGAAAGTTTGAAACACTCTGTGGAATATGTTAGCAATGCAAGGAATTTAAAAATAATTTTATCATCTAGGTATATCTTTTCTCGATAGTTTGTTTTGATTGTTTAATTCATCTCAATATCTTTATTTTTATTGGAGAATGTTCTCTTTTAAATAAGACAGTAACGATATACAGTAGTTTAAGCGTTGTTTTTGGGTCCTCATCAACACACTTATAAATATTGTTTAATGTTTTTTGTAATTTGATTGTCATTGAAAAGTCATATTATTATTGCTTATTGACGTTTACTCTAGTAGAGATAGTTTTAAGTACAGAAGTATCGACTGTTGCTGCTTTAACCGATCATGGTAGATGTCAACTTTTGGACTTAAAACCATATCTGCTAGAGTAACTTCACAACATATATATAGATAGGGCAGATCTAAAAAACTATCGTCCTATAACGCTCCTTAACGTAATTTATAAGCTCTTCACGAAAATATTAACCTATAGACTAACAACAAAACTTGACGGATACCAAGCAAAAGAACAAGCAGGCTTCAGAAAAGGATACAGTACAGTTGACCACTTATTAACTATGAAAATACTAATAGAACGAGCCAATGAATACAACATCCCTCTATATATTGCATTTGTAGATGTTTGCTAGTTTAAGGCTTTTGATAGTATTGAGCACTGCGCAGTAAAAACTTCCTTAATAAATAGCAGGATAGACTACAGGTACGCAGACTTAATAGCAAACATATATAGCGAAGCAACAACAACAATTACAATCCACGAAGGAACAAAGCCAATTCGTATAGGAAGAGGTGTCAGACAGGGTGATACAATATCCCCTAAACTCTTTAACCAGGCATTAGAAGACGTTTTCAAATATTTAGACTGGGAAGAAAAAGGTATCAAAATATGTGGACAATACTTGAATCACCTAAGATATGCGGATGATATCGCCTTAATAACAGAAAAGAAAGAAGAACTGGATACAGCAGCTAGAAGAATAAGCCTAAATATGAACTACACTAAAACTAAAATCACAACAAACACAGATGAAAACATAACAACCAAAATAAACCAAGAAAAAATAGAACAAGTTGAAGAGTATATATATATATATATATATATATATATATATATATATATATATATATATATATATATATATATATATATATATATATATATATATATATATATATATATATATATATATATATATATATATATATATATATATATATATATATATATATATATATATCTGGGACAAATGATTAAACTGAAAAAAGAAAACCAAACAGCTGAAATAAAGAGACGAGTGAGACTGGCCTGGGCAGCATTTGGAAAATTAAGTTATATATTAAAAAACAAAAGATATCCACAGTACCTCAAAACCAAAGTATATAATCAATGTGTACTTCCTGTACTTATTTACGGATCCCAGACCTGGACACTGACAAAATCAAATATGGATAATGTAACCAAATCTCAAAGATCTATGGAAAGACAAATGCTACATATAAGGCTGGCAGATAGAAAAAGGAATGAGTGGATCAGAGGAAAATCTAAAGTAAGGGATGTTAGAAGTGAAGTAGCAAAATTGAAATGGAAGTTTGCCGGTCACAATGTCAGACAGGAGGATGATCGATGGAACAAATGCATCGTAAACTGGAGGCCCTGGGAGAATAGAAGAAGTAGAGGAAGATCCCAGATGAGATGGGCGGACGATCTGAGGAAACATGCAGGCACAAGCAAGATCGATGAGCATGGCGACAGAGAGGGAAGAGTGGAAGAGATTGGGGGAGGCCTATGTCCAACGATGGACCGAAGAGGCTGAAGAGATAGATAGATAGAACTTTACAATAAACAATAATAATATGACTTTTCAGACAGTGACATTACATAAATTACAAACACTATTTTATAGGTCTGTTGTCTGTTGACTAGGACCAAAAGCAAAGACATGCTTTTAATCTAAAAAATACGAAAAAATGTTACTGTCGTCTTCAAAAATCTATCTAAAATAGATACACCTAGATGATAAAATAATGTTTACATTCTTTGCTTCGTTAACTTACTCCACAGGATGTTCCAGATTTTCACCAAAATATCAACATTTTTTTCCCTCGTATAAATGACAGCTAAAGATATAAAGACATGCTATATCAAACAGCTCGAATAAAGACATGCTAAAAAGTCAAGTAATTTAGCTACAAATTGCTTAAGAAATCATCAAAATCGGTCCACTAGAACACAATATCTAAAACTTTAAAATACATGAAAATTTTAAGGTGCTCGTTTTTCGTGCCTGTGAGTAGATAAATAATGTTTATCGGAATAAAAACTGCCGCGTAGAAAGAGAGATATTCGCCGATTCTTGAAATACACAGTCTATGACGATCATACCCACCCGAAAGTGTATCCCCGCAAAACGCACCTGACCCACATTTTGTAGATCGTTGTGTTGCGATCCGATCGCCACTACTTCGTCCAGTATAGCCTCTTCTAGAGACGTTTGCTGGTCGGTTTTTTTAATGGGGCTTACTGCCAGTTGTCCTTAAGAAGGTTGTAATTTACTTTTATATTCAGTAAAAATAATTTTAAATTGGGGTAGTTTAAAATTCGAGAAATATTTTTTTGGAAATAATTTGTGTGTCTGAAAACGTTCTATCCTTTTCAATCTTCCTATACTTAATTTGTGTTATTTTTAAGTATTATGTCTATTTTTGGTAAATGACGTCTAGAGGTTGACCTCGCCAGAATTATTGTCGATTGACAATCCCCAGCCCTCTTTGACGCCATTTTTTTCGATCATACCGTACTTCACAGAAATAGAAAACTTTTAAAAATCAAAATATTTATTGTTGTCAAACGTGTTTAATAATAATTTTTATTAGAATCTTTTTCTAGTTATTTACGATTTCAATTTTAAATTTACATATGTATTTGAAATAATTAAAATTATAAATAGTATAAAATCCAATGCAAAAGGTTCTGATGATTTAACTTTACAAATGGTAAAAATGTGTCTACTAAGCATTGATAAATATATATGTGATATTATTAATAGTTGCTTAGAAATTGGATTTTTCCACAAATATGGAAAGAGGCATTAGTCGTTCCTCTTCCAAAAACTGCAAACCCATCAAGATATGACGATTTGCGACCAACTAGTTCATTGCCAACCTTGTCGAAGATCTTGGAAAAGATTTGTGTATAGACAAATAATAAATTATTTAAATAACGCGAACTTGCTACCCAAACCCAAGGAACTATTGGGGTTTAGAAAAGGTCAAAGTACAGAAACTTTATTATAGGAATTATCTGATAATGTTTTTGGAGCATGTGATAGCATTTTAGCATCTGTTCTTCTGTTATTGGACTTCAGCAAGGCTTTTGACACCGCGAATCATGCGTTGTTGTTTGAAAAATGTAAATATATTAGCTTGACAATATTTCGGCAATTTTTTTAAAATTCTACTTGGCAGATCAAAACCAACTCTCTGGTTTATAAACCATAAATAGATAATGAATTCTCAAAATATAAACCAACTCTAAATAATGAATTCTCTGAAAATCTCTGTATATCCTCTGGTGTTCCTCATGGCTCAGTATTGGGCCCATTATTGTTTTTGATTTACACTTTTGATGTGCCAAATATAATAAAGACATCTCATATAAAATGTTTTGCCGATGACACACAAATATACTGTCATTTTAAGTGTAAAAATTATGAACAAACAGTCACAGATATTAATGCAGATTAGGAGAGTGTCCTCGATTTTGCTAGAAATCACAATTTGCGTTTAAATCCAACCAAGTCAAAAACAATAATATTTGGATCCAAAAAATATCGAATTTATTTAAAATCAAAAATAAACCTTTATATGTATAAATGATCAGCCCATAGAAAATGTAGAATCTATTAAAAATGTAGGATTGTGTATAGACAACAATTAGTTAGTTAGCTCGATAATGTTATTTGAGTTTGAACGTTCTGTTATTCCCAGAAGCATATATTGGCATATAACATGAAAAAAACGTTATGTCAGAGTCTCGTACTCTCAAAGTTGCAATATTGCAGTATGGTATACAGGGTTGTTCACCACATACGACACGGAGTATTGTAGCTAAACGATGAGATTTTTACAAATTGTAAGTTTGGGGTTCGTTGAAGGACTATTGGAGCTACAATTTAAAAATATTTTTACAAGATACAGAGTGTCCCAAATAAATAAAAAATATCAAAGTTGTATTTTTTTAAATGGAACACCCTGTATATTATTACATTTTTAGTTTCTACGATTAAAATAAAGGTAAATTTGATTAAGGTTTATTATACTTAAACCTTACCGTTTTTGAAATATTTTCAATTTTGTGAAATTGCAGTAAAAATTTTAAAGCTTCATTTCTCCAAGGGTATCAATGTTTTTAATACTAAATATTTAATGAAGTTTATTTATTGATCAGTTATTGTGTTGCAATAATAAAAATAATACTACCTTATACAGAGTGTCTAAAAATTTATTTAAAATAATTATTAGCTTCAAACGGCAATAACTTCTTTAATTTAAATGGAATGCCCTGTATATTTTAGGAGAATCAGATGCCCAATTAAATTGTCTATCAAATTGTATTATACCATTTTTTACCTATCCCTTCAAGTTATCGTAGAAAATGCATTTTCTTTTAATTTAGACCTCATTTATCAATATATCCATGGAATATTGACATTTTAGATTGTTTTTAAAGCAACAAATGTACAAAATGTACAGACTAGTAATATTATCGTTTTTAGCAAAACGATAAGATTACTAGCCCATTTGTATGCAAAAAGAAAACTATTTAAATCTTTATAAAAGAGTATACCATTAATTAAATATAACACCATTATTTCCGCCCATATACTAATTAATTACATATTGTTCAATTCGTGAGGTTTGGAACTTTCGTCACAGTTTGTCATTCTCTCTCTTATCCATGTTTATTACATGAAATGGAAATTTTGTGTCAAAAACGTAAGTCCATTATATTGATTACATCGTACGATTATTTTATTCTTTTTATATACTGATCACATGCTGATCACTATTATTACGGATAAAATATTTACGTCCTTGTCCGATAAGCACGAATAGAAAAGGACAAACATCGTGTTTGTATTACCCGCCGAAATTGAACAATACGGAACGCCGACTGTCAAAGTTGTCGTTAAATTTTAACGGCTCCGATAGTTTCCTGTAAATTTTTCAAAGAGGATTTTTATCACTTTTTGATATTTTTGTGGGAGATTTTCTGTGTTTACTGAGTTATTTGTGATTTAATTTGTGTTTAAAATGCCGTCCCGTTTTAGTGAAAACGAACAACGGCTCATATTAAAAGTTATCCAGTATTTCAAACTCGAAAAAAATGCTGGAAAACCCCTTTTGCCTGTGTCGGCTGTTTACGATGTAATTGGACAACTATCAAGTTAATATTTTTTAACTAAATCGAAAATATTCACGTGTTTTATAGAGAGCATCGGAGGCTTTAGGAATTTCACGTACGACTGTGCAAAGAATCAGTTCTAGAGGAATCGTGAAAGATGAAGAACAAAAAGCAGCAACAAGTCACAGAATTGCTTTTGGAATTCCTGCTTATAAGATACATGAACATACAATTAGAACACGTATTTATTCAATGTATGCTGCAGGTAGGCTACAATAAATTTATTATTGTTTAATATTATATGTATTTAATTTTTCACTGTATGGGATTATATAGGGGAACATATTACATTACAAACTTTGCAAGCAAACCTTCAAAACATTGATGATGTTCAGTTGTCTCTGACTATGTTGGGGAAAGGACTTAAATATTTGCAGTTTAGATGGCAAAGTTGCAAGCATTCTAACAGGAAGTATTTAATGGAGCAGCCATATATTGCACAGAAGAGACTGCAATTTTTACGACAATATAAAGAAAATCAAATCTCTGATTGTTCTTTCAGACCAGTATTTCTTGATGAAACCTGGATTTACAGTAAGGGTGGATTTAGAAAGAGCTGGCAAGATGGCAGTCTACAAACAGTTCGTAAAACATCTGGAGAAGGAGTAAGGTACATGTTTTTTACATATTCATTGGTTCACTTATAGGTCAGTTAGAAGGGAACAAATAGAGATACAAACAATAATATATGATAACTGTTAAGTTGTTTCTAGTAAGTAACATATGAGCCATGCACTGCACAACTCAGTTAACTCCACTTTTAAAAATTTTTAAATTTAAGTGTAAAACCAATTGTAATATTCAAACAGTTTTCCAAAAAATAGACAAATAGACAAATAATAACCTCTGATGTTTGGAAAATGTTAAGTTATTAATATACCAACTGGATTTACACTTAAATTTAAAAATTTTCAAAATGTATTGTTCATCACTTAGACAAGGAAAGGGGGGGACGGGCATTACCAGTAGAAATTTTGTGATGGAAAATCGCTAGGCTCCATGCCAAGGCCGTTTGTGAAAAGTGATTCCTAGTTCTTTCTCTCATTACAGATCTTAGAATTGTAAGCACAACAAAACACCATACTTAAATAATAATTATTTCAAGTCTTTAAAAAGCTTTTTACAGCACAAAATACAAAAAAACACACAATTTTTAGGAGCCAATCACAAAATTTGATATTGGCCGTAGATGTCGATTACGCGTCCCCTCTCTTTGCTTGTCTAAGGTGCATGAGCAGTAAACAGCTGATATAACGATAATGTTTCTAACCTAAAGAGTGAATGCAAAGAAAAACATAAAACGTTACATCTGCATAGCAACAAGTGTGCACCAATAAATGCATGGGATTATATCGATTACATTGTAGTTTAACTGTAAAGAAATGTACCTTGTACTTCATTTTTGGGTATGTATGATAGTGATTTTTTAAGGTATATTGTATTGCATGCTGGGTCAGAAGATGGATTTGTGGAGAATGCTAGCTTAGTTTTCAAATCAGGCACTAAATCGGGTGACTACCATGATTCAATAACTCGGCAAATTTTGAAAAGTGGTTTGAAGAACAATTAATTCCAAATTTAGGTGATAATTCACAATAAGCTCTTAGGAATTATATTATGATTTTTTTTAAAATTATATTATGTTTAATGGGAAAATCTAATATTGTCTAATCTAAAATTTAGATGAACCATCTCTGATTATAATGGATAATGCTCCATACCACAGTACCCTTTTCGAGAGAACTCCAAATCAGAGTTGGAGTAAGGAATCCCTGATTAATTTCTTGCAAGAAAAGGGAATCCAATCACCACCTCTGGCAATGAAAGATCAGGTTTGGAATATTGTCAAGCAGAATGTTGCACCTAAGAAATACAAGTAAGTCAACAAACAGTCTTATTACTTTGACATGAATGCAATTGTATATGCGATATGTTGATTTAACATTATAACTTTATTCCATTGCATTTATTTGGCAGACTGGACGAATTAGCCAATGAGAAAGGACATCGTGTGTTGAGACTTCCTCCATATCATTGTCAGTACAATCCCATCGAAATGGTATGGTCAGAATGCAAGCGCTACTATGATGCCAAGATTAGTGCCATTCATCCTGTTACAAGTGATGCAGTATTAGGTCTTTGGAAAGAAGCACTTGAGAAGGTAGATTACATGTGGTTTAGATTATTTTATATTAAAAGTTTTATTTTAGGTTACACCAGAGAAATGGAAGAATTATATCAGACATACCAATAGCATAATCGATAAAGCCTGGGCCCAAGAACAACTGATTGATGCCTCCGATATTCTACCTGTAATTATCGACACGAATGATTCCGATTCAGATGAGGACAATTATTTAACTGAGGGAGAAGAAAGTGTGTAGTGTTTAGTGTCTAGTATTATTTTTCATACATATTGTTTTATGTTGTACAGTGTGAGTCAGTGACAGAGTAAAGAGTAAATTTAATTAGTAAATTAATTTTAAATATAGAGGGGACTCCAAAAAGTGAGGCAGATATATATTATAAATAATGTTATATACCTAGAACTAATAGTTTTCTTAATATTTATTTAAAAAAATGTGTTATGCCAGCACCGACATGGTAGTGGCATTGTGTAAAAACTTTTCTATGCTAATCACTGGTATGAAAGTATTTACATATTGCCACTACCATGCCAGTGCTGGCATACCAGTTAAATTGGCGATAGCTACAGTATATAATAAATCAACAATCAATCTTTATATACAAAGGTTATAGAATTTTGGGCAGAATCTAAATATAAAATAAAAAATTATTGTATTGGGTGTTACATTAAAAAAATATTATATCTGCCACACTTTTTGGAGTCCCCTCTTATTTAAAATTAATTTTAAATTGTGTACCTGATAGTACAGGATCAGGTTGCAGGATTATTAAGCTCATAATGTAATTAAAATATAATTTTTATATATATTTGTGAATAGGGTAATACACTTTCAACGGGATGCCAATCAAAAAGTGGCCACAAATAGGGGTTGCCACAGTTCGAAGTCGTTCCTACTACTTTATCCGGGTCCGGCAACAGTGAGTCAGGCATATGATGCTCCTATAATAAAAAAATTGTATGAATGCAAACTGAAAGTATGTATTAGGAAGTATTTCATGAAAATATTTTAACTTCTACAGGGTGGGTCAAAAAAGTAAGCGAATCGGAATGATGTTTTTAAATGGAACACCACATATATTATTGCATTTTTGGCTTCTTTTCTGATCACTTTACATAATCCTAAGATATTATTAAATATGTTTTATTAGTTTCAGAGCTATTAGGTACTAAATAAATAAATAAAAATACTTCAGCCTTTTATACACAAAATGTTAAAAATACTTTTTAAAAAATACAAGGAATGTCGGTACTACTTTGCTATAAATATCGTAATCTTAAACCATACAGGGTGTTCAAAATCCTATGCTAAACTTTCTAAAATATAAAATAGTTGTTCTTCCTTTTTTTAATGGAACACTCTGTATATTATGTGTTGTTGATGAGGAATTAAAAAATGCACATTTTTTGTATTTAAAGTATTTAAAAATCTTTAGCGGTTCTATTTAAAATAAAGCAAAGAAAAACTGTTTTATATTTTAGAAAGTTTGGCATAGAATTTTTAACACCCTGTATGATTTAAGATTACGATATTTATAGCAAATTAAGTAAAGAATAAATATAGTAAACACCTAATATAGTTTTGATTTCAGGACATTTCTTGTATTTAAAAAAAGAAAGGCTGAAATATTTTTTTTTATTTATTTAGTAATTGTTCTGAAACTAACAAAACATATTTAATAATATCTTAGGATTATGTAAAGTGATCAGAAAGGAAGCCAAAAATGCAATAAAAATAATCCCAATTCACTCAATTTTTGGAGCCACCCCGTAGAAGTTAAACTATTTTCGACAAATACATCCTAATATATACTTTCAGTTTGCACTCATATAACATTCCTAAGTTGCGGCCACTTTTTCATTGGCACCCTGTGAAAAGTGTATTCACCTATTCATAAATATATTTAAAAATTAGGATTTGATTATTTACATGATGAACGTAATAATCCTGCAGCCAATCTTAGACTATGATCATTCTCTAAAATTATTCAATTTAATTTTTTTTGTTAGTCTCGAAACAAATAAGATAATGGACTTTATCGTTGACACACCCTGTATCTTAAGATTTATATATTAATATAATATATATTTACTATAATGTCTAGTGGTATATTTTTGTACTGTATATATTATGTTATGTATTATGGAGTCATATTCTTGTATTGTCTGTTGTATTTTTTTTGTACTTATCAGGTTTTATTGTACATTTGGGAGTTTTTTCAGAAATATATAATTCTATATTCTGTTTTCTCCCATTTCCAAGAGTTTTTTTTGCACATCCCGAATATCTGGCTGACATTATGTTATATTGCCAACACATCTATTTTTTGATCTTAGCTTTTATCTTCACTACACTTTATCTAAATACAGTAAACATAATTTTAATATGTAGTGTTTCAAATTTTAGTAGAATCTAATTTTTAGACATAGAATAAATTTTTAGTAGAATGATTGTAAAGAACAATGATGAACATGATTTTTAATCATTTCTATTATTATTAACTATTAACTTATTAATACTTTTCTTGTGGTTCTAGAAAACTTTTTCAGAATAAATTTGTAGTTCTTTTCATAAAATTAATAATATTTTTTATTTATAAACTAAAATAAATATTTACAGCTTACATTGTAGATATAGTGCAAAAGCCAAATTTAACGTTAACGGTGTAACGCTAACATGAATACAATAGCTCCCTACTAATAGCGATAGCACCTTAAATGTTTACATCTATGGATCAACTCAGGAAATACGTGAAAACCAATATGGCGCCGAAAAAGATGACGAAAGTGCCTAAGTTCCCGAATTGAAATATACTTAATTGTGTTCGTTAATAAATTATTATAAATAAATGTGGATTTGAGTCAGAAATCAATATAATAATAAGTTATAAAATTAAAGTCTCTGTTGTTATAAATAAGCATTTATTAAAAAATGAAATATCATTTTTAAGGTGTTACTTTTTATCACACTGTCTAATGCCCATACAAAATTCAGTTTTTTAGTATTTGGAGCAATTATTATTAATAAACGCAAACAGTCAGTTAATGTAGTTTGAATACTGGAATTATATTAATTGATCCTCTTTAACAAATATTTAAACAGTTTTTTTTTTATTTTTTAATGAAATAAACGAATTATATCGACAATATTAGTGTCTGTACTCTTTAAAAATTTGGTACATCTTTAAAAATAATCTAAAATGTCAATATTCCATGGGTATATTGATAAATAAGTTCTAAATTACAAGAAAATGCATTTTCTACGGAAACTTAAAGAGATAGGTAAAAAATGGTATAATATAATTTGATAGACAAATAAATTGTGCGTGTGTTCCATTTAAATTAAACAAGTTATTGCCGTTTGAAACTAATAATTATTTAAAATAAATTTTTAGACACTCTGTATAAGGTAGCATTATTTTTATTATTGCAACACAATAACTGATCAGTAAATAAATTTCAGTAAATATTTAGTATTAAAAACTTTGATACCCTTGGAGAAATGAAGCCTTAAAATTTTTACTGCAATTTTACAAAATTGAAAATATTTCAAAAACGGTAAGGTTTAAGTACAATAAACCTTAATCAAATTTACCTTTATTTTAATCGTAGAAACTAAAAATGTAATAATATACAGGGCTTAGACTTTCTTAGAGTTCCATTGAAAAAAATACAACTTTGATATTTTTTACTTATTTGGGACACTCCGTATCTTGTAAAATTATTTTTAAATTGTACCTCTAATAGTCTTTCATCGAACCCAAAACTTATGATTTGTAAAAATCTCATCGTTTAGCTACAATACTCCGTGTCGTATGTGGTGAACAACCCTGTATTTTCCATGCCTGAGTTTCATTGATGCTTATAGACTACAGAAGGTTCAAAACAACTGCTGTCGTCTAATACTAAATATATGAGAGTATGATCACATTTTCCTAGCTTTTGGGACACTCAAATCGATAAAACTAAATAAATTATTTAAATTAAGAATATTGAAGATATTCCTTCTGATCTTTCCAGAAAATTAAATTTTAGAAATTCGATGCATGATTTAAATATAAGGCACAAAAAATGCTTACCTGTATCGTTTACGTACAACTCTGTATATATTTTTAGTAACTTAAGAAAAGATATTCAAACTTTGTTTTTTGAGTGTACATCATTTAAGTTTAAATCAAGTCTGAAAAACTATTTATTGCTGGAACAGCAGACCTCAAGCTTAGGATAATTTAATATTTTTTGTTTTGATTGGTTACTATTTTTTTATGTTTGTTTAAACCTTTGAATAAGAAGACTAAGGAAGGAGCATATCAAAAATCTTAAGTACACCGCGATGGGCCTCAAATATGGCCGACTTAAATTCCGGTTTATCAGTGTCGTTCTAATTTTATTTAAAAAATGTAAAACTATGATGTAGGGTAGACGTGGGGTAGACTCAATAATTTGTTGTTTTATTTTACGTTGTGAATAAATGTTGGTAGTTATTAAAATTGTTATAAAAATATATAATTCTAATAAAAATAGATAAGTTATAATAAGTATTTATTAACACAAACATCCGATACGCTACTGAAGCAGGTAAGTCAAATTAACGTATCTAAATTCTTTGACATCTAATCTTTGACAAGTAATAAATAAAAGCTAAAATGCAAGAAAAATATTTAATTTAGTTAATTTAAGTGAATTTCATAAATTATCGGTTTACTACACGTATGTATATTATATAGTCACTTACTAGCGAAAAGTTGTTCCATTATTTCACTCAATTTTTGCCGAGATCTACCGCACGCTACACAACCAACTATTTTAGAGTCTTTTTCGATAAATCGCGATAGTGTCACTGTTAATTTAAGTTCTGCCACAATTTCCATCTAGATTTACTACCTTTATACAACTATCAGTAGTAGAATAAATAATAAATAACATAAAATAAGCTCCGTAAAGACTGACAAATCCACAAAATTTCAAATGAAATTCAAATATGTCAAATGAATCGTCAAACAGAACTGTCAAGGATCCCCACCCTAGAGAGCTTTTATGGTGGCTTTTCCGCCCACCATGCATGAATACATGGATAGCATTATGCTCCTTCCTTAGTCTTCTTATTCAAAGGTTTAAACGCATTGGTCCATACAATCGAGCCACATTTATTCCTCATTTTATTTTTATTCTCATCTGGACATTAATTTCGATTTTACATTTCTTTTCTTATTATGCATCTTTTCAATGTATTAAGTATGAAGTTTATCTATGTAATTAGTAAATCACTGCAATTGATTAATTATTAATCAAGACCATTTATTTTTATTATTATTATTTCCAGAACTCTGTTTTTGTCGTAACTGGTGGAGCATCGAACGATTTCGGAAGAGCTACAGTAAAAGTTTTATTGGAAGAAGGAGCCAACGTGGTTATATGTGACTTACCCACGAAATTCCTACATATTTATGGCGACGATAAGGCCATTTTCTTACCTGTTAACGTAAATAGTTTTATCTTTATTTTTTTTTCAATATTTCATGTCTCATTTACAGATAACTTCGGAGAAAGATGTTCAGACTTTACTAACTGTGGTTCAGGAGAAATATAAACGTTTAGATGGAATAGTGAATTGTGTAGATTTTTATGAAAAACTTGGTGTATATGATCTTAAATTGAAAGAGCCACATAGTTTGGAAAAGTTTACAGAGATTATAAATGTAAATATTAAATATTTTTGCTAATATAAAAACTGCTAATCAATAATCAATATAAGTAACTGGACGTGGCATGAGATAACACATTAAAATATAATTTAAAAAAAATATATCAGTAGATTTATGCAAGGTTTTAAGGGATATAAATGTTAGAGCTAAAGTGAATGCTACGCTAATTTTAATACGAATAACCTATAGTAAAAACTAAGTAAAACCATTGTTATTTTAATGGAATTCGCACATTCTTGCAATATAGTGAATAACCAACAGCTAGTTTACTAAGTATGTAACTGGTTAATACGCTTATTTACAAAATGTAATTAAAATGGTGTGTAGGTTACTTCAACTTACAACCTGGTAGTTTATATAAACCATATTTAGGTTCTTGTTAATGTTGCCTTTGGGTAGGTAGGTTATGGCCAGAGATGTGAGTTATTTCAGACACAAGTATTTGAAATAGAGGTATGCACTGTTCGGTTTTTATATGATTCAAAATAAAAAATATATAAATTGTAAAATTAGTAATTTTTTAATGGACATAATGCATTCTTTCAAAATCATCGAACAACTAAATCATTTCCATAGATCCAGTGATAGATCCGTGCCTTTGAATTTTGAGACCAAAAACTGAAAAATAATTTGTCAAAAAAATCATATTACAGCTATATGTTTTATTTTGCATAAAAATGTTAACTAATAAGTTAAAATAATTATATTTCTTTCTTAACTAAGTGGATTTATCGCAAAATTTACCTAAAGCTAAGTACAACACAAATCATAAATACGTGGACTATTGTAACGACAAATACATCGTAAAAGACTATTTTGGTAGCATTCTGAACGAGGATTCAAGTTAAACTTTTTAGAAAATAATTTAAAGAAAAAATGAACCTGCTCAGATGCTTGTTCCGAGTAAAATTCTAGAGCTCTATGATTTGCTTTTATAAACTCTGGCACAAGATGCAGAATTGCATGAATCTTTGGAGTTATCTTAATACCTAAGTTGAGTATTTCCAATCTAAATTGTTCGATGTCATGTTCAAAATGTTTGTTTAGTGCTTGAATAAAACAAATCGAAACTACTTGATTGAATGCAGAAAACACTGCAATATATTTATTTCTTAAAAAAAGATGTTTAGGTTTTTGCTAGTCAAAACTTTGAATAGGATTCTTTACCGGGCGATATCGTCTTCAAAATATCCACTATCTTTAAAAGTTGTCTGGCGTTATTTCTGTTACATTTTCCATAATGATCTAGTTTCAATCCCGCTTTTTTTATCCATTTTGTTGCAACATTGGTATTCTCCAATTCAAGACAATCAAATAGTTTTTGAACCATACCTAACAAAAGGTGAAGCTCAGGAGGGGGAATATACTTTAAGACAGGTGTTTCTTCGTCGCCAATGATTAAAGGTATGTTTATACAGTTTTCTAAAAAATAATTGCCCTTTTTTTATTTGGTTCATTGAACAACAGTTTAAAAAATACAAAAAAATATATCAAACAAAAACGCTTACTAAAATCTTTGGCATTTGTTTTATTTCCTCCAGATTGTTCCCATAAATTTGTATTTTCTGTAATACTTTTTATAGTTCTGCATGCTCCTTTAATTTCTATTTCCTTTACATTTACATCATACCATGGGCAAGTGTGAGGGGATGAATTTGACTGAAGACCAAGGAGAATCATAATAAGCTTAAAGTCGGAGGCAAAAGTATAGGAACAAATTCCACATATGGACTGCAGATCTAACGTCTCAAAGAGGCTTTTAATATTAGCATAAGATTCAGACAACTTTGGTCCTAAGCCAATTATGAATAGTTTATTAATTCCAGCACTTTTATATTTCTTGAAATATTCGGGATCATTTTCAGGGAGCACATTCAGACAAACTTTAAGTGATCCACCACCACTATCAATGCCAATTTTTACATGAAAATCTTCATACTCTAATTTCCAAAATATATGATAGAAGACCAGATAAAACTGAGCAGTATACAAAAATTAATATTAAATGAATTAACATTTTTCCTTTAAATTATTTTCTAAAAAGTTTAACTTGAATTCTCGTTCAGAATGCTACCAAAATAGTCTTTTACGATGTATTTGTTGTTATAATAGTCCACGTATTTAAGATTTGTGTTGTACTTAGCTTTAGTTAAATTTAGCGATAAAACCACTTAGTTAGGGAAGAATTATAATTATTCTAACTTATTAGTTAACATTTTTATGCAAAATAAAACATATAGCTGTAATATGATATTTTTGACAAATTATTGTTTCAGTTTTTGGTCTCAAAATTCAAAGTCACGGTACGTCACTGGATCTATGGAAATGATTTAGTTGTTCGATGATTTTGAAAGAACGCATTATGGCCATTAAAAAATTACTAATTTTACAATTTATATATTTTTTATTTTGAATCATATAAAAACCGAACAGTGTATGAGATACAAAATGCGTATTTTCATTTTATATTTTAAATATGTACTTTTATATGTATTTTAAATATGTACTTATTTAGATACATTTTTTTAGTATCTTAGAATTTTATAAATAATTAGTTTGCTAAAATAATTGCTAATCGTCACAGTAAGTCTGTATACAAGTAGATATTATCTACTAAATAGGAGAAAATCAGATAGTACCTACATAATTACCCTAAATTGACAAAAATCTTTGCTTGTTATTGTAGTCTCTTGCGAAGTGTTCTATGACTAACTTTTATAAGTACAATACTCACAGTTAATAGAGGAATATCCAGAAAAACTCATCATCAATTTTTTTTCATATTTTAGGAAAACATTCTAGGTATCTTTAATCTGCTTCGTCTCACTCTACCTCTATTAGTAGAAAATAAGCCTAAGGTCAGAAGTGGTAGAGGTATTATTATAAACATGACGAACAATTCTTCTTTCGATGGTGACAAAGAAACATGTGCTTATTCTGCAAGTAAAGCCGCCATTCAAGGTTTAACAGAAGCTCTCTCTGAAGAACTTGAGGGACATAGAATTAGATGCGTTTGTATCAGCACTAGTAAGTATAAATTTATATAGACATATTACGGCTAAAAGAGATTGTTGGTAAAGTGGGATTGTATGGAAGGAGGACGTCCCAGTATATTATTAAATAATTACGTTTTTTAGTTTAGAACTATCAAACTTAAGGTTATGTTAGTTGCGTTTGCAAAAGCAACAAAATGGTAGTCTATGTTATACACGTATTTTAATAACTAAGCATACTTTTTGCGATATATTTACAATTACAATTATTTATTACAAAAGATGGCATTATTTTAGGTCTGGCCAGTCACAATAAGCTGTCAAAGGAACCTAATGATTACTTTCACTGGAATCAAAAAGAATCAATTGTCATGGATGAACCCAGAAAGTTTGGTCAGCTAGTCAAGGCTGATATTGAATCTACAGTAATTAGAGCCACAAATATTACAATAGATAATCTGAAAAATAGTTAAAAGTACTGCAAGATATTAATTTCTTATAATTTTAGCTCTTATTCTTTTATGTTCTAAAATTATATATTTTGTTTACAGAAAATGGATATCTACCTGAATTAAAACATTTAAAATAACCTAGAATACTCACTAAATAGTAAAACTAAGCAGCAGATATACCTATAAATAAAAAATCAAATAGTACTTTCAGTTTTTAGATTTTTCATGATACGCCATTGCCTTCCTATTAAGATTGGAAATTAAAACCAAACCCTTTCTAAGTGAGTCACACCTGTACAGAACCGTTCATGTATGTAGGTGATATAGTTGTCAGAAGGTGTGAGAACAAGACTCTTCAGACAATGAAATTAAAAGTTATTCATGTATACCAGGTGTGTCAATAATGTTTGCTGTTCGTTAACAAAATTAGCACTTCTCGTCATACAAACAATCACACGATATTGTTCAAGTTAAGGATGTTTTTATCCTAAAGCAATAATAGAGGCCCTAGCGAAACAATGTATTGACAGGCCTTATATAGAAACTCTCGCCAATATTCCCAAAGCTGTTTGAAGCAACACTAGAAGAAATCTTCCGTCAACTCAACTGGATCAACAAAGGATAATAGATGGAGAATATCTAAGTATAAGATTGGTACATCTAAGATTCGCTGATGACATAGTCCTAATTGCCAATAGTCCTGAAGAACTACAAGCACAAATTAACGAAGTAAATACAGCCAGCAATAAAGTAGGTCTCAAAATGAATTTAGCAAAAACTAAAGTAATTTACAACAAACTGGTAGACAGAAAAGACATTATAGTAAATAATACAACACTGGAAATAGTAGAAGAATATAACTAATACACAGCTCGGGATCTCTACTACCAGCAACAGAAGAATTAAGTTAGCCTAGAACACTCCTCTACAACAGAAGAATTAAGTTAGCCTAGAATTCCACTTTATCTAATGAAGAGAACATTCGACCAATGGGTACTACTAGTCATGACCTATGCATGCTTGGACACTTAAAACGGACATTCTACAGGTCGCACAAAGCTCAATGGAACGAAATATGCTGGGAATAACCAAGAGAGACCGTAAAAGAATAGAGTGGATACGAGAAAAGACCCAAGTAATAGATGTCATTCACAGAATCAAGTGAAAATGGACAGAGGACACCTGGCAAAAAGGACAGACTAGAGATGGACCACAAAAATTACAGCATGGTACCAACGAGGAATCAAGAGACTTAGAGACTGTTATCTGAGTTTACAATTCTTCTCCATTGAGTTCTATTGTGAACTGCTACTTCCCACTCATTCTGCACGTTAATCCCCTTTAAGGTTTCGTGGAAAATGTCCTTGTACCTTTTGAGTTGTCCACCTGGCCTCGTCTTACCGTCTACAAGCTCACCGTAAAGCAGTGATTTTGGTATGCGGTTTTATTACATTCTGCATACGTGACCAGCCCATCTTAGTCAGGATTTTGAAACCATGACTTCAATACTCTCGCAGTTAACTTTTTCAAGAACCGATACGTCTGAGACATGATGGAACCATTTGATTCCTAAGAGTTGTCTAAGGTGTCTCTGTTGCAACTTGTTTAATGCGTTCATGTGTCGGCAGTAGGGCACCCAGGTTTCGCTCCCATATAACATGGTGGGGATTATTATTGCTCGGTACACTGCAAGTTTCGTTTTTGTGCTCAGGTCATGGTTGTAGATGTCTTTTAATTTCCAGAATGCTCTTGAGGCGCTGCTAATCCTGTGCTTAATTTCAGAGTCGATATTGGCCTTTTCCGAAATCAAACTGCCGAGATAATTGAATTCCGCTACATATTCCAGTAGTTCTTCTCCGATTTTTATAGCATTGTTGTGATATTCCGGGGGAGTGCACATGATTTTAGTTTTGTCGACGTTTAGCTTAAGGCCCAAAGCCTCGTATGCCCAGGTATGTGTTCAACATTTCTTGTAATTGCTCTACAGTTTTTGCAGCTTGAGCGCAATCATCAGCGTACTGAAGTTCTGTGATGAATTTTGTACGTGTTTTTGCCCTGAGTCTTTTTATGTTGAACAGACCGCCGGCGCCGTCGTATCTGTATCTAATGCCCAATCCTCTCTCCTGCAGTTTGCTGTCCACTATAATGGAGAGCGCTGCCATGAATATTTTGAATAGGAGAGGCGCTAAGACACATAGGGATGTGTCTAAACTCCTGTATTTGTTAAGAAGGGATCGCTCAGGCGATCCATGATGGGACACTCTTGACTTGTTGTTGTTATGGAGGCTTTTACACATTGTAAGAAATTTGTTGGGTACTCCGAACTTTGTCATAATTGCCCAAAGTGCATCTCTGTTCACAGAGTCGAAGGCTTTTGTTAGGTCGATGAATGCAACATAAAGTTTAGACTGCTGTTCTTTTACTTTGTCCTGTAGTTGTCGGATGGAAAATATGGAATCGACGGTGCCGCGGTTAGTGCGAAAACCCGTTTGCGATTCTGGAAGGATTTTTTCTATATGTGGGTGCAGGCGCAGGCGGTTTGACATAATTTTTGTAAGAATTTTTCCTCCGATAGCAAAGAGTGAAATTTCCCGGTAGTTTCCGCAGTCTGATGCACTTCCTTTGTTCTTAAATATATTCGCTATATTTGCGTTGCAAAAGTCCTGAGGTACCTCTCCGCTTTCCCATATGACATCGAAGAGAGCCTTAAGATCACCAATAAGTACTTTACTTGCACACTTAGAGATTTCCGCAGGAATCGCGTCACAGCCAGCTGATTTGTTGTTTTTAAGCTGTTTTATGGAGGCCTTTATTTCCTGTTCTGTTATTTGGATATCTCGTTATTGGAATATCGAATACATCGAGGCTGTTATACTGAGGTATTGTGTTTAGTGCTTCCATATTGGGGTTATTTTCTTGGTTAAGGATATGGCTGTAAAGCTTTTTCCAGCGGTTTCTGATTTGCTCTTCCTCTTTTAGAAGTTCGCCATTTTGTGCCATGATTGGGCAGCTTGCCTTCTTGGTTGGTATACGGTCCAACCAAGAAGGCAAGAAGGCTTATTTTACAGCTCTTTTGTGACCACCAGTTATCCTTTAGTTGGCGTAGTTTTCTCCGCTGCTTTAAAGTTGTCTACTAGCCTTGGGTTGTGTGGATTTGCAGTGACTGCTTGATGTGCTCTATGCTTTTGTTCCAATAAAGCCTGTATATGAGGTTGATTTTCGTTAAACCAGTCTGGTTGTTTCTTTTTGTTGGACTTTCCTAGTACAGCTTCGCTGGTTTTATGAATCACATCCCTTAATTGTGTCCAGCCTTGTTCAGTTTCCAAGATTGAGATTGAAGTTATCGGTGGAAGTGATTCTTTGATGGCTTTCCGGAGGGCGTCGGCGGTATCGTTATTCCCTAGACCCCGTATACGTTCAGTCTGGTCATGTTGTTTTGTTTTTTACAGTGTGGATGTTTGGGTTTTAACTGGATTTTCACTTTTGAAATTAAAAGTCGGTGGTCAATGCCGCATTCGGCATCTATTCTGGCTTTTGTGAGTCTGACATCTTTTAGATGCGTCCTTCGAACGATTACGTGGTCCAATTGATGCCAGTGGCCTGATCTGGAATGTTTCCAGGTACCTTTAAACTTGGCCTTCAACATGAACCACGTATTGGTGATGCAAAGATTATACTCTGTGCATATTGTTAATAAGCGTTCACCATTGCTATTTACGTTTCCCATACCATGCTTTCCCAATACGTCAGGTCATATTTCCTGTTGTTTACCGACACGGGCGTTAAAGTCACCTAGCAAGATAATTCGTTCGTTCTTCGGAATTCGTTGGAGAGCATTTTGTAGAGTTTCGTAAAATTTATCCTTATCCTCAATTTTAGCGTCTAGGGTGGGAGCGTAGGCACTAATGATGTTGACGTAAGTTTTGTCTGATATGGGATACCTTAGAGTCATAAGGCGTTGGGAGACACCAATAGGTACTTCTGTTAATTTGGGTGCAATTTCGTTCTTGATTGCAATGCCTACGCCATGAATTCTCCTGTGTTGCATGGTGACCCTTCCAAAAGAAGGTGTAATGTTCATCAGTGAGGCTACCCTCATCCGCAAAGCGGGTTTCGCTAAGAGCGGCAACATCTATATTTAACCGGTGGAGTTCCTGTGAGACCAGTACTGTTCTTCTCTCTGGTCGATTTGAATTTATCTTGTCCAATAGAGTGCGGACGTTCCACGCCGCAAACGTGAAACATTGATGTTTTTTATTTCTCCGAAGATACACTCGAGTAGGCACCTCCTCCCGGAGATCCGATTGAGGGGGTATTTTATCTCCGGATGATGATTTTGTCCCACTCGAATGTTTCATCATTGATGTGTGTAAGCTGAGTGAAAAGGTTTAACTGTGACGGTTTCGCTGCTCCACCATTTCGGCTGCAACTGTAGCAAGGGATGGCTATGGCACAGTGAGGACCGCGATGATAGTTCCCTTGTGCTACGTTCTCGGCCGGCTAGGAGCAGTTCACTACTCCTCTTCTCCAGAAAGATGGTAGGTCTGAGGGTTGTATTCTCGGAAGCCAGAGCCTCGTTTGTGCAAACAGGGTGCACCACGTGAAGGTGAGGTTGACTTTTGGGTAAGCTAGGCTATATGTATCGCTTCAGTACCCCTTGCATTCCCAATTCAATTGTTCATAGCAGACTAAAATACAGATGAATAAAGGATCTATTTACCTATAAAAAAAGTGCTAATGAAAATTTACTTAATTACAATCTAACCTACATTATATCAACAATTTAGATACATTTTTAGTGATAAGTATCTATAAATTTACCACCGAACAAATACTTTTATTACAGTCAAAGACAACAAATGCATACTATCACACTGTATATGCATCTCTACATTTTATATTCAATTAAATCGAATATACAGTATACGATATCTTCTAAATACGTCCCCCTAACATCTCCAATAAATACTGCCGGTAATATTACACCTAATTAGCTATAAAAGGTTTTTGTGAGATATCCTCTATGTGGTACGGTACGTGTCGCATAGTAGCCAATAAAATTTTATACCTTATAATGAGAATACAATTCGCAGCGTATAGAAAGCTGTTGCATCGTCGCAGATCAAAGACGGTGGGGCCGACTTAGGAGGGACTCGAAGATAGGAATTCCGATAT